ACTCAGTGTTTGACTCTCAAAACGATGGTTCCTACTACCGCCCCCACATAGGGTCATTACCAACGACATTTCTAAACCAACCGTCCCACCTCGCGCGCGTTTCTTCAAAAACCGCGCGAACGGCGTCGCATTTCACAACCCAATTGCCCATATATCCGGTGGTTAGGGACTCGGACCTCCGATGGGAATGGACGGGACCAGTTCGTCTGGACTGCAAACGAGGCGGAGCGAAGTATCAACCGAGCGGCGCCGACGCTACAGCAATGGCGTGGAGAACTGGCAGTAGCAAGGGTACGGCAGAGCCAGCACAGCAGCGCCAACACAGCAGCACAGCCATGTCGGCAGCACCGGCACGGTATCGCGGGCTTATCAGGGCCAGAACATCGGCGCTGATGTGTCAGCACCCAAACAGCAGCGCAGTTTCATCAGCACCGACACAGCAGTCCCGGCATGGCAGTACCGACACAGCAACACCGGGACAACTGCACCGTCACTGCAGCACCGGGACAACTGCCCCGTCACTGCAGCACCGTCAAAGCAGCACAAGCATGGTGTCATCGTTAAAGCAACACAGCCACGTCGACAGCACGGGCACTGAAGCACGAACTTATCTGGGAGAGCACATCGACACTGATACGTCAGCACCCAGACAGCAGAACAGGTACATCAGCACCGACACAGCAGCATCAACACAGCAGCATCGACACAGCAGCACCGACACAGCACCACAGTCACAGCAGCACTGGCACAGTGGCACCGACAGCAGCACCAACACGTCAGCACTGGCAAAGCGGCACCGACACGGCAGCACTGGCACAGCGGCATCGACATAGCAGCTCCGATACGGCATCACTGGCACAACGGCACCGACACAGCAGCGCAGCGGCGGTGGTCGACCATTCAGCCGTGACATTCACCAGGCAAGGACATTTCAACAGGCGCCGAATAGGCGAAGCATGCAGCGGACACTGGCCACTTGTATGGATCGCAAATTTTGAGGTAGCCATGTCGCTGTTGAAGTGATCTCATTCTTAAGTCGCAGCAGATCCAGCAGGTCACGATGACGGTGGGCTAGGCCACACCAGCTGGAAACATTGCCGTGACGGCTGATCGATTTCTGGGATCACATGCCTAATTTAGACAAGTCATTGCATCTATTTGGGGGGCGCTCCGCTTGCACAGAGCCCCTTCATTCGACCGGCCATGCCTTCATGTGTTTGGAGACGCTCCGCTTGCATGAAGCCCTTCATTCGACGGTTCATGCCTTCGTGTGTTTGGGGGCGCTCCGCTTGCTTGGAGCCCCTTCATTCGACGACCTACGCCGTTAGCTGTTTTTGGACAGCTTGGGCTCACGTGTCAGGGCTTTGGCACAAAGATGTCAGCGTTCTGTCTTCCGTGTTCTATTAGTTGGACTATTACAATATTACGACATCTTATCTCCAAGCCTGTCTCACCTGTGCGATTCGCAGAGAATGCGACGCTCGACATAGACTGAAAACGTGTTACTTAGTCATGAATTATCTCCCAGCCTATGGCTAGTCATCCAAAAACGCATTCCAAGGTTTGTGTGTTTGTATTTTCTTACTGTCAGTGACGATGACGCTATATACATTACCTTAACGGAATAAAGATCACACACAGCTTGTCTGATATCCCCTGGGACAAGAACAAGTCTAATAGATCACTTACGAATGGATATAAGGGTGGCGTGTCGGCCAAACATCGGATATATATATATATATATATATATATATATATATATATATATATATATATATATATGTCTATATCTATATCTATATCTATATCTATATCTATATCTATATCTATATACATATATATATATACGTACATATATATATATACATATATATATATATATATATATATATATATATATATATACATATTGTCAGAATCCATTACACCCCAAAACACACTGGGTAGAAAAGCTTTACGTGTGTCTGAGAGCAAAAGTAAGCCTGCAAAATATCTTATCCGGATAGTGCAACGGCGCTCATTTTGCAGTCAATGGAATTTCCACACATCTGCAGTCTAACTGACCAGATAAGTACGCCGTTCACAAAAAAATGTATTTATCAATGCAAAATTTTGCGCCTAGCTTTAAAGCAGTGAGTTTTAGAGGTTTGGCTGTAAGGCATCTCAGTTGGCATCTTAATTCACTTCACTCAGTCTTCACTTCACACTTCACTCAGTTGGCACTTGAGGCATCTCAGTTGCGTGTGTTAAAGCGTGAAACCAATGCACTTTGATGGTTTGACTGCAGTTCTGAAGCGTGTTTATATTGAATGGTATTCAGACCATGTCAATAATGGAAGTCGAAATCGTTGTTGGAAATGCCATTACAAAGGTTCAGATCGATGGCGTTCGCAAATATATATGCATGCATAGATATACACTCAAGTGAGCTGAGGTCGAAATGTCCACAGATTAACCCGATTAATACCGATGCTCTGTCAGGCACGCGCCCCGAATTGTGCCACTAAGCGGCACCAAACAGCGACGAGCGCGGGATGAAACAACATAGGTCTGGTGGATGTCATGAAACAATGAATGACGGGCGCCAGTAACCATAGGTAGGTATGCCAGCAATCAATGAATCTGTCCGGAAGCTATCCGCGACCGTATCTCGCCGGTAGATGGCATGACTTCAGAGTGTGGCCGCTAGATGGCAGGACTTCAGAGTGTGGCCGGCAGATGGCAGGACTTCAGAGTGTGGCCGATGACGTCGGCGCTTCAGAGGAGCTCCGCGCTGTGCCGAGGATCACAGAGATGGCTGGCCACCTGGGCAGCCGTCACGCTGTGCGGGGATCGCAGAGAGGGCTGGTCACCTGGGCAGCTGTCACGCTGTAGTTTTACTTGATCTTCATGGTCAGCAAATCAGTAGGCATGTCGTGCATCAACCATTTATGCGTGAAATTCGTCGGATGTTAAAGGGTTTAGCCATATAGGGCTTCCCAGATATTTTCCATCATTCTTCGTAAGTAATATTTTTCTCACAGATATCTTACTTTCCAAACTGTCTCGACTTATTCCCTTTTTGTGCAAGTCGATGGCATATTTTGGTACAAACTTGATATCTTCAGAGCACAGTGCTTCGGGGTCCTGGTGGCGAGACCATCTCGTCAGCACGTGCACGTTCAGAGTTTTAATAGTGCTAAGAGCCTTTTCACGAAGGACAGTCACGTTGCCTTTGGGACCGCAAAACCTGTAGAGTATAGACTGACCCAACCATCTACAGGCGGGATAATGTCTGAATGATCGAGCTAAGTGATCACACAACTTTCTGTTGCTGCTGCGACACAGCGGCAACACAGCGAAATCGACAGCTTCCCTGAGAAACCAGCGCTGAAAGATTCGGTTTGATCGGATCGGAACAAATCTTGTTTTGTGGAAGCACCGCCGCATGTGGCGCAGATATAGGTTCATGACGCATGCGTGTGCACCGCACCGCGTGGCGCACGAGCGTCTCTCCAAAGCTCGCCCGGTGCACGCGCGTCGCTTCGAACTAAGACATCCGAAGAAAGCCTTTGCAAGCTACTGAGGCTTCGCAAAGCGGGACTCGCATTCACGTAAGCCCTTCAGACGGTCGTGGCCTACATCCGGAGAGGGGCTTTCAAAACCGACTCGTTAATCCAGCCTCCATCAATTTCGACGGATTCTGGTGGGATATGTGGGCTGTTTCTGTCACTTTCATACCGACAACCCCGCTTCATCGTAAGCCAGCTGGCGCCTGGGTGACTCCGCGCTCACAGCACGCTGAAAGGGATGTGTGCAACATTCCATCAGAAAAACGGTCACGAAACCCTGCGGCACGTTTTGATTACCCCTGGGAAAACTCCGGCTGATTAGTTTAGGTGGACTTGGCGGCGGCCGCCGTGTTAATTAGTTTGGCGGCCAGCCGCGTCGCCACCGCCCGCATCGAACCCTGGGAATCCGTGACCAAAGCAGCCGCCCAGTTGGGAGTCAGCTGCATTGAGGCCCGTCGCTCTCACGAACTGAAAATCCTACGGGCGGCCAGGTCTAATGGAGCAAATAAAGTAGCACACCAGCTTCGAGCTTTCGTTGCAAGTTTGTATCGACCAAACCATATTGTTTGTTCACACCACTTTGGGATAGTTTCGTTCTGGAGACATGTCACAGGTGGTCGTGATGTGAGGCTTGTCACAGGTGGTTGTGATGTGAAGCTTGTCACAGGTGGTCGCACTGCGAGGCTTGTCACAAGTGGTCGTGATGTGAGGCTTGCCACAGGTGATGGTGATGTGAGGCTTGCCACAGGTGGTCGTGATGTGAGGCTTGTCGCAGGTGGTCGTGATGTGAGGTTTGCCACAGGTGGTCGTGATGTGAGGTTTGCCACAGGTGGTCGTGATGTGAGGTTTGCCACAGGTGGTCGTGATGTGAGGTTTGCCACAGGTGGTCGTGATGTGAGGTTTGCCACAGGTGGTCGTGATGTGAGGCTTGCCACAGGTGGTCGTGATGTGAGGTTTGCCACAGGTGGTCGTGATGTGAGGTTTGCCACAGGTGGTCGTGATGTGAGGTTTGCCACAGGTGGTCGTGATGTGAGGTTTGCCACAGGTAGTCGTGATGTGAGGTTTGCCACAGGTGGTCGTGATGTGAGGTTTGTCACAGGTGGTCGTGATGTGAGGCTTGTCACAGGTGGTCGTGATGTGAGGATTGTCACAGGTGGTCGTGATGTGAGGCTTGTCACAGGTCGTCGTGATGTGAGGCTTGTCACAGGTGGTCGTAATGTGGGGTTTGTCACAGGTGGTCGTGATGTAGCTGTGGTCGAGGTTCGGGACACCACCCACATTATCCGGAATGACAGCTGGCAGGCATTATCTCAGCACCGATCTGGCACAGCACAAGAAAGACGCGCCGATTATCGCGCTCGGCTCGGTCCAGATCGGCGTCGGCTGTTGACGTGCATCGATCATACGAGATCCGTGTGACGGAGCAGCTTCCGCACCGCGCCCAGCATGCCTCTTCGCCATGTATATTGATATCTGAGATGCATGGTCACTGGTCAGCTATACAATACAATCACATAACACGGACACGGCGCGACGCATGACTGTTATGACGACACACTCGCGATCGGTGCACATCGCTGTCAATTACAGTAGGACATGATCTGAAACACGCACCAGCTGACACTCCCAAGAGTTCGCCAGTAACACAGTAACACAATAGCGCACCGCAGATTAGGTTTCACAGACAGGCGCAATACCTGGTCAAAAAGCGCCTTCCACCGCCTCAGGTTGCTCCTGGTCAAGCCGTGCGGCGCCGGCAGGCGCGACCTCCATCTCGCCCGGCGCGCACACCTCATTTGATTGGCACCTCTCTTTCCGGAGGCTGCGGACTCGAGTCTACCACCAGTCGAGGCGAGGCAAGACGACGCCCGAGCGCAAGCGTGTCACGTGACCACGCGTGACCTGCCGCGCCCGCAGCAGGCGCTGATCACGTGGGGCCGTGCCGCCCCTGCCGGAGCGCGTGATTGGCGGAGCGGCCGCTGTAGGCGGTGAGCGCCAGCGAGGGCGGCCCGCGGCTCCGCACCGGCTCCTCTTGATCGAAGTCGTGAATGTCGTAGTACACTAGACTTTGGTCCTGCGGAACAACCGAAGCAGGCCGGTATTAGAGTCAGACGCCGACGTGGCAGCTGGTGACGCAGCTCGAGGCACAGCGAAGGAGCGTGTCATGGTGTGCGTGGTGGGCACCTCATGCAGCGGAAGAGTATCAAATACCGAATATGCAGTATTAAGAGAACCAAATATGCAGTATTCAAAGCGGAAACAGTCGCGACGAGACCAGTTCGTCACAACTTATCTACTACAACTTATATTATCTACTACAACTACAACTTATCTACTATGCATACACAAGCACTGGATACAGATAATGAGAGGGCATTTCGAAGAACTGAAGTCCCTGTCGGCACTGAAGACAGACATGGTGAGAACAAACTGGTGCAAGACGATACATGATTATCCATGAGCTCTTCTAAAGCCAATGTCTTTTCCAATCCAAAACACCATTTCACGACAGCTGAACCAAGCTTCTATGTATGTTCCTGCCAACGGTTGCATCACAACCGGGGTCCATATATCCTCCGAAGCGTAATCGCGAGCCCGGTGAGCTTGTCTCGTCGGTCAGAGTCAGCGTCGGCGCGGCGTCTGTGGTCTGGCCAGCCCGAGAAGGTCTCGGCTGACGCCAGAGCGTCAGCTTTAGTACGGGTCGTGTTCTCTGTTCACGCCATCTTAGTGGTCACCGATGGGCAGCCTCACAGGCAGACTTGGCCTCTGGTGACCGTCGTCAGGGGACGTCGAGGGAAACACGGCACCCGCCGTGAAAGCGAGGACCTTCTTTACCCCACGGGGGATACAACGGTATCCCCCGTGGGGCATACTGGGGTATATCGTATGCCGCACCCGACTTACGCTTGATTCCGCTACGAAGGAATCGATTCTCGACTAGGGATTCCCATTTTCGGTTTCAATTCCAGATTCCGACCGCGGGTTTAAAGCGCAAGGAAACTGTCTCGATCCCTTCTCCAGAGTAGCAGAACTCAATATTGAATACACTCGGATCCCCACTCATAGAGACTTGGCTACATTCCGGTTTCCACAACCGACTCCAATAAAGCCGATTGCAGTGACGGTGGTCCTGAACGGAAGCCACGTCTGTGGTTTGCAAGGAGCCTGGAGTGGACATTCTGCCATCATACCTTAGTAAAGCATCCCGTACGAATACCAGCTTGCATCGAGCGGAAGAAGGTTTTTTACATGTCTTTTTGAGCCTACTCATCGACCACGTCTTCCAATACGTGTGATTAACCTCCAGCTTCGACTTACCTATTCTCGAAATAAATCAATTCCACATTAACTCCAAAATTCAGTGACTCCCTGATCAACTCGGACTCTGCGCAGTCACGTGTCTCCGACTCTGGCCTCAGCCGGTGGATGGCGGCTTGCTGTGCTGTTTCTAGCCAATGGACAACAGTACGCCATTCTGCAGTCCAACCGGCGCACAACAGCGCGCCCTGTCTCAGTTGAGCTGAGCTTGCGACAGCCGGACCGCCCGAGCCGCAAACCCACGTCGGTCGCATTTCGTCCGCAAATATGGCGGTGCTGTGAGAAATACGGACCAGATGCCCCGATGGAATTTTAAACTACGCAAATACCGAGACCGAAGCCCCCAGCTTGGTGATATAAGAACGTTAGGCGGCATACAGATGAGGTCATTTGTGAAACAAAGGGCCTGGCTGACGGCTGCTGCAGTGACAGCATTGTCGTTCTGATTGAAAATTGTTGTGCACATAACACTCTGTTCGCTGGCTCATGGATGATGTTACTGATGGTGATGATGCTACATCGATTCGCTATGTCAGAGAGTCGCACAGAGTACTCACTTTCCGCAGGGATCATGAATCCGTTCGTCAATCCTCAACTATTTAGTCACATTTCGCCATAAATAGTTCCAATTTCCAATTTCCATTTTTTTCATTTCCAGGAGGATTTGCCATCTCTTGGTAGATTTTTTTGCCTCAAAACGGCCTTTTCACACAATTTCCTTTGTGTTAAGCCAGGTACCCCTGAAAGGCTGTAGGCGCGGTCGGGTGGGTCGGGCCGAGCGCTGCCGGCGCCTGCCGTCCGGAGGTCGTACCTGCGTGGCGCGCGCCTCAGAACGCCATTCGCCAGCTGTTGCTCTTCTCAAAGAGCAGCTCGTCGCGGCTGCGCTCGAAGGCGTGGCGGCGGGCCGCGCCGCCGCCACCGCCGCCACCACCGCCGCTGCCGTGCGGTGTCAGCGTCTCGTACAGGCTGTCCCGCGAGCCGGCGCGGCCCGCCCGGCCCGGCTCGTACACCAGCTGATGCGTGGAGCTGGCGCTGGCGGGGTGCAGTGGGAAGTCGTGCGCCGACAGTGTCGGGAAGTCGTACTGCAAGCGTCAGACGTCCGTCAGGGGGAGCTGCCTGCCGCGCCGTCGGGGAGGGGCGGGACGGCGCTTCCACCGGGGTGTCAGTCTGTCGTTGGCGTCTGCTGACCGGTGCCCGCTGGTGGATGCTTGGGTGTGACCCTGCACCGCGCTCTGTGATAGGGTATATATGTACATACATTGAGGCCTGTGAACAGCATGAGGTTTCTACTATTGTTTGAAGGGCCTGCCTTCTAGTTTTGGTGTCACATTGTATTTTGATTGATGGATTTGTTGTTATAAATATGAACTCGCGACTCTGACTCGGTTTGTTTTGGGAAAATGGGCAATTCACAGCCGATAAATTAGCTTAGTAGCTTAGTAGCTTTGCATGGTAAATACCTTTGTACCTTAGTAGCTTTGCACTGTAAGTAGTTCTGTTTGAGAGTAGCCAGGGAAGTGTCAGGAGGCTTCATTGAACCGATTGAGATAATTTTTTTCTAGTGGAGTGTGAGTGCTTATACCATTTACTGTAACCATGTCACAGGGAAGCCTCATTTGTTGTATTACGGAGCCGAGGTCGACAGGAAAGCTAGACCCGACAGCACCCGATTCCTCCAGCTATCTAACTACGTCCCCAGGCACCCTCGAACCACCCGTCGGCCCCAAACACCATCTCCATGCACCCTACCTACCGCTCCCAGCCTTGGCTGAGTATACACCAGCCGTCCCCCAAGCCGCGGTGACCGGTGACCTGCCCGGCCGCCCGGTGACCGGTGACCTGGCCCGGCCGCCCGGTGACCCGCCACTCACCGCCAACGAGCCGCGGGACCGGGGCCGTGGCAGCCCGTGGCCCGTTCGCGCCTCCTCGTCGTCGCCGGGCGGCGGCGCCGGCGTGCGGCCGGCCCGGCCCGGCGCCAGCCGCTCCCCGCCGCCGTACACCGGCGTCATGCAGCGCATGGCCTGCGCCGCGAACGCCGGCCGACCTGAGGCAGACGGCGCTGCCGGTCAGGGCCGGGTCGCACCGACGGCTGAGCAGGGCGACTAGTATTCACATGTGGCGGCCGACACGGACGCCGACGTTATCATCGTCATGTGGCAGATATAAGTAACAGCTGGTACCTACACTTTTAATTTTTAGGAACGAAAACCTAAAATGCTGCAGTACAGATTGCGTGCATTTTTCACTACAGAGCACATGTGCCTGAGACAGGTCATCGGATGCTAATTAAGCCACGGCCAATGGTCAACATACCGAGACAGCGGGGGCATGTTCTGACCCGAAAGACCACCAGGAAGCCCATCGCCCAGATAAGGGCGAGTCGTCTATCTGAGCGCTCGGTCTCATGCATTGCAAATTGGTCCGAGACCCGCCCCGATGGAGCGTTTAGGGTGAGAGTACTCCACAAACGACCATTTCCACCCACAGATGGCTTCATAACCGTCGCACGGGTAAAGCGTCTAGGCCAGACCGGCTCATTCAGGACGCTTCACACCGGCTGATGAATGCTGCGTCCGAGCCTTTCACAGCCTGCATGCAACGCAATCATGAAGGGTCGACGATACCATAGGCATTGTCAGCCGAGTACTGCAGGACCGATGCGTGACCGATACGAACCGCGGCGCCATGAGTTGAGACGGCGATGCAGAGACGTCACATCCCATCGTCCCGTCGACGTCACATCCCATCGTCCCATCGACGTCATATCCCATTCCTGATGACTAACGAGTGGGCCTCCCAGTTCTCCCGTGCCTCAGGTCCTGTAGACGAGTGAAGGGAGACGCGCCAACGACTAGTTGCGGGACAGACATCCGGCCGCGATCCGTCACTGCCCGACGCGTCACCCACCGTTCCTCGTGAGGTTGAGGCTGGCCGGCCGTCACTGCCCGACGCGTCACCCACCGTTCCTCGTGAGGTTGAGGCTGGCCGGCCGTCACTGCCCGACGCGTCACCCACCGTTCCTCGTGAGGTTGAGGCTGGCCGGCCGTCACTGCCCGACGCGCCACCCACCGTTCCTCGTGAGGTTGAGGCTGGCCGGCCGTCACTGCCCGACGCGTCACCCACCGTTCCTCGTGAGGTTGAGGCTGGCCGGCCCGTCCGCCATGGTGCCCTGTAGGTTGGGCTGCGAGGCGTATAGCGGCACCCCTCCGGCCCCGTACAGCGGCTCCGGCTGCGGGGCAGGCGGAATGTCAGCCGACAGTGGGAGGCGGGTGTGACGGCCGGCTGGGACCCGGGCCGCGGCTGGCAGCGCCACGCACCGACACATGGGTACGACAGCCGTAGCGGGTAGGGAATAGATTAGGTGTGGTTAGATATTCGTCCGTTTATCACTGAGTGGGTGCCCGTTCACACTGAACAACTTTTTGCTGGCCACCATCCATTCAAGACGTGTTGTTAATATTACTCAAATGATTGCGCCTTAACAACAGACATTTGCAAGCCGGTGATTTCTTTCCGTGATGCCGTGCAACTGTACAACAAAAACCATAGAGCATATTGCCAGCAATAAACACAATTACGATACACGCGTGATGCACAATGGCCAGTGTGCAGGTAAAGTGTAGTGGAAAAACGTCATGAAGGCCACATAACCACTTCAGCAAATCTGCACACGTTTGTCCACCATGTAGATGGCGAGTGATATGCAGACGCCGCCACATTACCGTCATATTGGCATGCCATTCATCGCCTCTTCAGTGTTGTGAATAGCCATGATGCAGTTAGTCATATTTTGAAGTTGATTATGCTGGGTCCGTATCTCAAACAATGTGGTTTACCTGATAAACTCTTTGACCCATTGCGTGCACTTAAATTGTTCGAATTAACGCGCACGCCGACGCAAACCAGTCGCGCCAGCCGCGACGCCTCGGGCTCCTGCTGACAGCCGCACGCTCTCCCGGTGGAAGCCGCAAGCTCTCCTGGTGGAAGCTGCAAGCTCTCCTAGTGGAAGCTGCAAGCTCTCCTGGTGGCAGCAGGCCGTCCATGCCGCTCCTGTGAGCGCTCCGCGGTTCCAGCTCGGCAACGTCCCGCGGCCTCGACCGGCCGTCAGCCCCGGTGTGTGCCCGTGCGTGCGGTGGTGCTCACAGCGGGCCGTACATGCAGTACTAACTTGTCCGCGGATGTTCGGTTCTCGGTCGCGCGGCGGCCGGCGGTGCCGCGTCCGCGGCCGGGGCGCGCCGCGGCCGGGGCGCGAGCGAGGCCGAACGGTCATCGCTCCGCTCCATAGCGCCGCATTCACTCCGCTGTCGAGCGAGAGCGGCTGGCGACACGCGGCGCCCGCCGCGCTTCTAGGTCTAGTGTTAGCGGAGGGGAACCAGCCGCCCGGGTCGCGCCGGCTACTAACTTTTTCGCCGCTCCTGGACAGCGTCTTCTTGCTGGCCCGGAGGCGGGCGGGCAGCCACCAGGGGCCGGCCTTGGGCGAGGCCACCCGCTGCTGGGGAGGCAGGGAGAGGGTGCGGGAGAAGGCGCCGCCGCCCGATCCGTGTCGAGAGCGCGGCGCCGCCACCACTGGGGTCAGGATGTAGTCTAGGGAGGAGTGAACGGCACCCGCGCGGCTGCGCGCCAGCGAGAGGTGCACGGCCCCGGGCGGGTGGCGTGGCATAGAGGAGTGCACGGTGCCGGAGCGGTTCAGCGCTGGGTGGGAGGCGTACATGGGGACCTGCGAACGTCAGAGGTCCGTCGTTAGGCAGTGTCCGTCGGTCGCGTCCACAGGCGCCGCTGAAGCGGTGAGGTAAGCTGGTGAGTGGCTATAGACAGCGGTGAGATAGGTACTGAAGGTCTACGAAGTGTTAATAGGCGTCAGAAAGAAGCGATACACACAGAAGAGCAGTCCAGGTGTTAGAGCGACACGAGCTACAACACATAGCAGCCGTTTTCACACCGAGAGTAAAGTCAATTGGACTTGGCGATCTGGTGTTTGATGAACCCTGTGGTCGGATGGCAGTCAAAGTCATAAAGGTGCAGGCAAAAGATCCCAATGCGCGCAACCTTCAACAATATTTTGAAAAAACTTGCTGGGCCACGTAGTTTGCTAGTTGTTGGTCGGGAAGAGGACTTTTATTTGTTGTGCTCTCCTCTCAGTATTAGATGAGTTGCGAAAGCCATGGCAAAGCAATTTCGCAGTCCACAGCAAAAGCAAACTAGAATGCATTCGTCTTGGTTCCACCGAAAAGAGTATGAGGTACAGAAAACCATAAGCCTCAGTCCTTTTGTAAGACATCTTGGCCATTGTTTCTGCCTGGTTTGAGGAGCTGTGGTGTGAAAACGACTGCGGTAAAGCACAAGACGGCGCGGCCGCCACAAACTCAAGCTACACATGGTGGTCAGGTGCAGAAGTGAGTCGTGAATCTGTGGTCAGTCCAGTCTAGTCTAGTGCAGTCCAGTCGTGTCTACAGCTCCCGCCACGCTGCCCCGCCGCGTCTCGCCTGCCTCTGTCACCTCTGCGGAGCAGCTGCCAACAACGGACCGTCGGCGGTGCCGCCTGCCAATAACGGCCATCGGAGGCCGCACTTGACGGCGCCACTCACCGCGTACAGATTCTGGTGGCCCATCGCCTCAGCCATCTGCGCCCAGCGCATGCGCTCCTCCATCGAGAGGGCAAAGTTGGCGTGCGCCGCGGCCGCCGCCGACGGCTTCATGAAGGAGTAGCCGCTGGCGGCGCCCAGCGTGCCCATCTCGACCTTGTTGTGGCCCTGGCCGCGGTGCCAGCGTTTGCTGCCGGAGACGAGACAGGTCAGCAGGGTGTCGTTGAGATGTACTAGTGGAGTTTGGTCCATGTGAGCTAGCTGTGTCTCAATGAATGACTAGATGGCAAGTGCAGACAATAACGGTCTCCATGGCACTACAGCACGGACCGTATCGCCATGAGACCAGCCTGACCATGCAAACAGACCGTCTGGGTTCTTTCTATACGATGATGACGTAAGTTCTCATCCCACGACGTTCAGGGAAGTGACTTGTCGCCATTTGTCCCGATCGCGGGGTTAGTTCGAACCGACCCGGCGGTGACGGGGCCTCCCCGTGGCCGGCGCCAGAGCCTGGACTCCGCCGGCCGCCGGACGGTTACCTCCATTTGCAGAGGCAGATGAAGGTGGCCACGATAACGAGGGCGGCTGCGGCTGTGGCGCCCAGCGCCGCGCCCAGCACCTCGCCGTCCACGTCACAACGCGCGCCGTAGTACGAGCCGCGACATCTGTCGAGGAAAATGGTAACTACTACGGCCGCCAAGGCTGTCCGCCAGCACGTTTCGGTGGACGCTCCGACGTGCAGGATTTCTTGAAAACCGGAAATGGTGCAGCCGATGGGTGAATGGTGCACCCGAAGGATGAATGGTGCGGCCGATGGATGAATGGGAAAATCGACGAGCGGCCGCCGCAGTCAGTCGGACGTGTGCCCCCAATTCAACACGCTTGGTTCACTGGTAACTGAGCTTCGGGCAACTACGCCCCTCTGTTTTTGCCCTCGGCAGGGAAAGAGAGTGCAAGGATTGCACGGCCAAAATCATACGCTGAAGTGGCAGCTCATCAACAGCAGCATATGTTCTTCCGACTACATCACTACTGATGTCGTAAAGTGGGGGAGGGAGGGGGGCAGATAGCACGCGACTAAGCTAGTCCAACTGCCCTGTACACCCGCGCCAGCCTCTGCGCTTCAACATAGCAGCCGATGGGCAGCCAGCGGGGCTCCAAAGCCGTGGCACAACACAGCACAACACAGCGCAACACAGCGCGGCGATACTGGACTTGGCGTCACTCACAGGCAGGTCTTCTCCCCGTCGTAGATCTGGCAGGTGCCGCGGTCGCTGCAGTAGTCGTCAGTGCACGAGTCGCAGTACCGGCCGGCCCTCTGCACGTCGCTGCGGTACCTGCCGCCCGACATTAGTTACACGGTGTCATACCAGCCCCGTGTACCAGACGCGGATACTGTGAATGTGGGCATCACTGAGAATCTTTGTGTCAAAACATGTTTTAGTTCAGTTTGAATCGATGAGCGGTCTCGGTTTAACAACAATATACGCCAACAGCACGACACAGGTGCCACGCTTATCAACCACTGCTATAATCGAAACAGCGCGTACGAGACTGTATCGCAACATTTCTTTTGAGCGCATGTGAGACCATCTCAGAGCGTTTTAGCGTGCAAAACCTTCCCCTCTCTGCCGACACTGCGTGCATTCGTCATTCTCTGCTATTCTGGCGTGTGCCTTCACTCGTCTGTCGGCTGATGTCGTCAGCGGCGCGCTGGCACGGCCCGCTGACCTGGCTGTCTGCCGGGCCCTCTGGCGGCGTCACGCCACGCGACATGCCTGTGGCCGCACGTGCCACCCGTCGCCGTTTGCGACACGGCCGCCGTCACGGCTGAGTCAGCGCCAGCGGGGCGCGGCGCCATCAGGAATCATTCATTCTCGGCGCACGACCCGTAAATGCCATCGTTCCTCAATGGCACTGTGGTCTCCATTGGCACTGCGGTCTCCAATGGCACTGCGCTCCCCAATGGGACTGCGGTCTCCAATGGCACTGCGGTCTCCATTGGCACTGGGGTCGCTAATGGCACTGCGGTTTCCAATGGCACTGCGGTCTGCGATGGCACTGCGGTCCCCAATGGGACTGCGGTCTCCAATGGCACTGCGGTCTCCATTGACACTGCGGTCTCCAATGGCACTGCGGTCTCCAATGGCACTGCGGTCTCCATTGGCACTGCGGTCTCTAATGGCACTGCGGTCTCCAATGGCACTGCGGTCTCCAGTGGCACGGCGGTCTCCAATGGCACTGTGATATCCAATGGCATTGCGGTCTCCAATGGCACTGCGGTCTCCAATGGCACTGCGGTCTCCAACGCCAGTGGGCGTGGAACGCACTCATGCTGGCGATTTATCATCGGGCATCTCTTCGTTTTGGAAAGTCACATTCCCGCACAAATGTATCGGCCAATCACAGAATGTAATCCCAGACCGGTACTTGACAAGCCAGATGACCAGCACAAACTCGAGGCTGCTCCCATTCCGCGTTCTCCTTCTTTGGGCACAAGATTAGGAGGACTTGACTCACTGGATAACGATGACTCCCTGGACCAATTACTTCTTAAGTCACATAAACATTCTGTGGATACTTGGAGTTGCTCACGTCGCCCGCTTGAGGGTGGCGGGGGTAGCGTCCAGAAAACACTGCCCGTGCTGACGCGAGAGATTCCAGGACACCCAGCCTTGCTCCCGGCCGGCCGCAGCCGGGGCGTTCCAGCCCGGCCTCCAAGTGCGCGCTACCCTCACCTATCGTCGTATCCGGGCTGACAGCGACAGAGGAAGCTGCCGAACACGTTGCTACACTCGGCGTGCTCGTCGCAGTCGTGCTGGTCAGGATCGCTGCACTCGTTCAGGTCTGTGGATTAAGGGGACGCCGAGTTCACACGCTGGTGATCAGAGCAGAGTTGCGTCTGGATTGCATAGGTGCAATTTTGGTTTATTTCTTTGTATGCTAACCATGCCAACGAAAATAGCAAAACAAACTGTGGATAACTTTGAGACAAAATGCTGTGGCGACGAGGTAGCAACGGAGTGAAAACAGATCAGAGATCCACCGGCACCTTCTAAAACCATTCCGTAGTTGACTCCTCACAGATCGCATAATTAAGCAAAGCAAAGACCCCAGACCCCGAACTCCTATCAAACAGCTGCATCCTTCACCACCGGCAAACCCCTGCCAAACGGTCCCCCCCCCCCTGCCCTCACCTTGTACGCCGGGCACTGGGTTGAGCGGGCCCTCGACAAAGAGAGTCGAGTCGCCGATGTTGTTGTCGCTGGCCTTGATGGCACGCACCATCTGACGCTGCAGCTCGTCTTTGACCTGGCGCCGCCGCGTCTGCGCCGTGTCTAGCAGGCTGACCGTCGTGTTCAGTACCACGCCGCCGGACAGCGGGTAGAACGCGCTTACCCGGTTCCCCATGTAGATGTCGCGCATGGTGGTGCCGGACATGGCCGAGCCAATCTGCGTGCGGGGAAGGGAGACGCCACGTCATTTCACGCGACGCCAAGCTGTTGAAAGACATGCCATGCGCTGGCCGCCCTCATGTGTTAGGGAGAACTAGGTTTTATTGCGACATGGGCTTGGGCACTCGTGCTGAAGGCTCGAGGTTTCCTCATATTGGTGTTTTGGTGGGGAGTCGAAAGGAGATTTTCTCAGAGTTCGTAGTCGGCGGGGCTGAGCTGGCAGCCTCTGTCACAGCCTGAAGTTGGCATGTCAGATCAGGTCAGGTCAGGTCATGGGGTATACGCAGGTACTTCAGTGCATCAGCCATAAGCCTCTGTACGCACGGCGTGCTGAGCGTCCCAGGCCAGCTGCTGGAAGACCTCGGAGTCCGGGTCGGCCAGCGACGAGTCCCAGGACAGGCGCTGGTCTCCGACGCCGTCCACCTTCACCGACATCACCACCGACACCACACCTGCCGGTGACAGGGGCGCCGGCGTCATCACACAATGCGATACCAACACAACAGTACAGCGCAACACTGGAATACGCTTAGTCGCCAGTGCGTCAATCTCGCCATGCGACGTTTTGATGCCATCAAATTTGTACAGAAATGATGATACTTACATCCGTCGTGGACCCTCCAACGTCACAAACAATCGCACCAGCTTGAAAGTCGGTTACGTCTTGTAACAGACCCGCCACTCCACCCACCGGTCGTCCCGAGCGCCACCTCAGCGCACATAATAAACTGGAAATCGCCAACTCCACACAGCGAGATGGCAGCCGAATGGACAACACGGACGCCGTGTAAGCCCCTTCCCGCCACCGTCACCCAGCCCAAACTCGTCGCTGCTTTCGACGGTAGGTGGAGGAGCTGGCTGTCTGGCGGCCTCCGTGGGCGTGTGCCCTCGTGGGCGGGCGGCCTCGGCCGGGAGGGGCGCTCACGTTTGCAGGCCGTGCGAGGCCGCAGTCGGTTGTAGCCGGGCCGGCAGAGGCACGACGAGACGCCGTCCTCAGTCCGGCACCGCTCGTTGTACTCGCGCTTGCACGTGCTGTCGTCGCCCACGATACACGTGTCGATCCTGATGAGGAGCACGTGGCACGTTTTGAAGGAAAGAAAGCTCGAAACGCCAGTGACGTGATGATAAGAGTGAGTCATGTAACATAAGCTAGGTCAACGTCGTACTGACACAAATGGCATAAATGTATTTACCGTAGCACCCAGTCGGCTAAAGACATATGATGAGCTGGTAGGCGCAGTGTTTTGATTACATGATCACCTGTTCGCCTATCCTCTAAACGGAGCTAAGCCACGTCCCCATCTCTGCATATTAACATTTACGTCAATTTATCACGCATCCCCTCTCAACTCATAGTCATATTTTCCCACGCTCCAAAAATCATGGAGCAGCACGATAGGTGCAATAACAGCCACTAGAATGTGTAAATATTCCGGTCGTGCAAATGCGCATCCAATGCTGAATCGACAAGACCCTCTGGCCGGTAGTGTTGAGGCCCACTCCGGCAATGTTTCGCCGGTCTCTCACCGGATGGGCGGCGGTGACGGCCTGCGGCGCTGGCCAGCGTACATCGACGCCGCCTGCTGAGGCCGCTGAGGCCGCTGGGGTCGCTGGGGCCGCTGGGGCCGCTGCGGCCGCTGAGGCCGCTGGGGCCGCTGAGGTCGCTGGCGGCTGGGCGGCGGGGTGGGTTGGACGGGTCGCCGCGTCGGGCGTGAGGGTCGGCTGGACGGCGCCTGACCCACTGGGCCGAGACCTGCACCCACCGTCTGCCGGGCACAAGGACACGTCAGCGCTTAGTGACCGTGAACGATCCCGTAATGAAGCACTGCTCGATAGAAAGCGGCTAAGTACGAGCCACAGCAAGCAAAAAACATGGCCGAATCTTGCGGGAGGGGTTAGGAATTACGGGTAGACATAGTTTACGCGGCGGATTGGGCGTCCATATCATAAGCCAGTACGTCTGTTTTCTAAGCTAAAATGCATCCGTGCAGGTATAACGGAATGCATCTTTTAAATAAAGTACTTCAAAATAATGAGAGCTCTCGTCATGCACGGTGATTTGAACATTCCTGACCTTTTGGAGCGTCACGGTGCCGGAGTAAACGCAGTGGTACATAACAGGGGCGCGGAATATCTCCATCGGTCGACATGACCTGGACATTCCAGAGCATGCTTTCGCAACACGCAGCGATTCATGCGGCGAGTCTGACCTGGTAGGCCCCGCCTGCCTTGGTGGCGTCGGTGGGCGCCAGGTCAAAGTAGGTGCGCCGACCGTCGATGGAGACCACGTTGTTGACGGCGTCTGGCTCGGTAATGATGTCTCCTGGCCTGCGCAGCTGGTTGATATCCACTGCGCGTGGAAGGTGTGCACTTCGTGAGCTTTAGAAAGAGGCTTCCGAAACTAAAGTGGATACCGTCTGTACTACATTATGCAAGGCAAGCCAACTTCTGAAGAGATGCATGGTTTCATGAGGTGCGTAGCACATATTTACGCGCGATTGCCAAGACTTAGCCAACCAAGATCCCTTCAGTGCGAACCAGATGACATTTACAGCCTACATTTACAGATAGACGGACCAGTCTCTGTGTTTACCAATCCCTTGCAAACTGTCAACAAGACCAAACACTTTCTCCGCTGAGCATTTGGACCGAGTCTATGTAAGCCTGGTGATGATCAGCCGCCGGTACCTGGGAAGACGTAGGGCTGTCCGGAGGGCGTCTGCGGCGGGGGCGGTCGGCGGCCGCCGCCGAACCCTTGGGCCGCCGACACGGTGATGTCAAACACTTCGCCAACCCGCTGCGCCTGGATGACCTGGGGTCTGCCGGGCGGCCGGTGCGGCGGCGGCCGGGGCCGCGTGGCGTCCACCACCGACCCCGGCCGACCGGAGAACACCGACAGCGGCCGAACGGAGGGCCGCAGCGGCGGCGTGGCGGCCGGTGCCGGCGGCGGACCGCCCAGTCCGGCGGCCGGGCTCTCGGACGATGAGAGCGGCTCATGCGGCGTGCTTGGGATCTCCACCCACTGCTGGACCTCTCGCGTGGGCGTCGGCGGCGGCGGGTCGGCGGTGGAGGGGCCCACGGGTTTGGTCGGGGGCTCGGAGGTCGTGGTCTCTCGCGCCTCTGTCGTGGTCTCCGAGCGGGGCGCGTCCGTCGTCGTCGGCTGCGACGGCTGGTCGGTCACCGCCGACTCGGCCGTCTCCGTCGTCGTCTCCTCATTCAATGTTGTGGCGGTCACCACGTCACTCTCCCCGCTCTCATCTCCACTCGTCCCGCTCTCCGTCGAAGCTTCCGTCGCCGACGTCGTCTCCGTCGTTGTGACTTGCGGCGGCAGTGGCGGCGGCGGCGGCGGCGGCGGCGAACTCGGCGCAGGCGCCGCCGTGGCCACCGTCTCGGCGCTGGCCGTGACCGTCGGTGCGACCGTCGCTGTCGCCTGCGGCCGCTCGCTAGCCGGCAGCTGGTCCACGTCGGTGACGACGGTCTGCCGAATGGGCGGCGCCGGCGTGGTGGGCGTGGCTTCGCCTCGCAGTGGCACCAACTGCTCGGGCAGCGGAACGCCGTTGGCGTACGGCGCGATGGGCGGCCGCTGCTGCGGCTGGGGCCGCGGGCGGGGCTGCGGCCGCAGCGGCGGCGGCAGGTGGCTCGGGTACGGCCGCACCGCCGGCCGGTTCTTTACAGCCACAAACTGCGGCGGACCACGGTTGTTGATGCGCGTGGGCGCCACAGGTCGGTTGCCGGGCGGTCGCGGTCGCGGCCGCTGCCTGTTCGGGCCTCGGTTGGGCGCGCGGTCGGCCGGCGGACCCACCAGCCGCACGTTGTCGCCCAGCAAGCTGATGATGCTGTTGAGCACGCTGTTGACGTCCGGCTTGCCGGCGCGGCCATCGCGCCGCTCACCGGCCGCGTCCTGCGACGAGAAGCTGGCGCGCGGCTCCCAGGGCGATGGGCTCTGGCGGCCGCCAGGCGGCGGCGCGATGACGGTTGCCTCGCGCGTCTGGCGGGGCGAGGTCTCGGAAGGCTGGTTCTCGGTGGGCGTCACCGACCGCTGCACCCGCGCCGAGGGTATCACCAGCGAGACGGGCACGAGCGGCAGCAGCCGGCCGGACGTCACCTGGACCGGCTCGGACGCGTCGGCCGCGGCCGCGGTCGCGAGCGCCAGCGACTCCGCGTGGAGTCCCTCCGCAGACCTGACCTCTGCCGACCTGACCTCTGCGCGCCTGACCTCTGCCGACGCCCGCGGTGCCAGACCTTCGGCGGTCTCACCGCCCCACATCACAGCCAATTCAGCTGACGGCGGTGCCACGCCCCTGGTGCCGCCACTATTCACCGCGAGCACCGCTGTCGTCGCACCGCTCTCCGCTGCGTCCGCACTGTTGGCTCTGACGGCTGATCGTCTGTGCACTCCACCGCCACTGGAGGAGCCTCGCCGCTCGATGTGATCGGACGAGACGCTCGGACTTGGGGGTGACCTGTCCGGAGCATGGAGCGCAGTCGTGGCCCCGGAGCTCAGGGCCAGTTCAGTCGCCTCCAAGGCACCTGAAACGGAAACATTAATCCTTGTCACGCTTGAAGCTAACCGGTGTTTACCATCAATAAGGAGACTTCCATTCACAAGATGGTCTCACACGGATTTATGATTTATGCGCAATAAACCTGGATCGTGATTACAAGCCATGGCGCTGTTCCGAACCCAGTGTGGCACATGTTTTCAGCTGCGCGTCGCGTTTATCCCCTTGCTTTTTTCTAGGATGACACACTTAGTCACGCTTATGGTTTCTGTCATACAAACACATTCGAGGCCGACCGCGAGCCCTCAACAAAAGGAGCAGGTCAGCTTGTGGTTACGTGTAGACCAGTGCTCCAGAGCTCACAATGCCCCAGCCTTTGTACGGTGTGAACCCAGCCACATGTCATGCGGCGTTCTGTGTGCCAGCCACTTCCACCCGTCGGCGACCTTTTGAAAGAGCCCCGGCAGTCGGAACGGTGATGTGTTTTTGTTCGGCTATCGAGGTCGCTAGCGACGTTAACGCACAATAGCACACAACTGCTGCTGCACGCGTCCGCCGGCCTGCGGCGCCGGCACGCCTCCCATTCTCGGCACGTCCGCTGCTGTTCCGGGGGCGCCGGAACGCCCGCCGGCGCAGGCCCAGGGCCCGTGCCCAGTCGCGCCGGCAGCGCAGCATGAGCGACAGGCACTGGCCGTGAGCCGGCCGTCCCGACGGCGGCCAGGACAGGGCGGCGCGCGGGCGGCGCTCTGTGCGTGAGGCGGCTGCTGCCGCCGCCGCCGCCGCTGCAGTACTAATGACAGGCCCCGTTAGTGGCTGTGACCAGCTGACGCCGGCCGGCGGTCGGGCGTGGCTGAGAGGGCCGGACGGGAGGCGGCGAGGCGACCACCGCACTGGGCGCGCACTGACCGCCGCGCTGGGCGCGCACCGACCACCGCGCTGGGGGCGCGCCAACCACCGCACTGGGCGTCACAAGCGATGGAGAGGCGGCATCAGACCATAATCGCAACATCTTGACGACTGACGATTGACGGCTGACGACTGACGACTGACGGCCACGACTGATCCTGAGTCTAGCCGGGCGGCAGGAGCGAAGGCTGCTCCGTCGCTCGTCAAGAGACCGGACGCAGCCATCGTAGCACGTTGGCGAGCCTACACGGACACTGTGTGAAGTATCGAAGCTCTGCGGACCATGCACGTCAACCCGGGCAGTTTCAGAGCGAGACGTGTGGACATAATGATTCTGTTTTTGTTGATCAACTTAAGCGCTCGGCTTATGTTAAATGTCATCTCGTGGTATCCCATGACTAAGTTCTTGCTGTAGCAACAAACGAGGTTTGTGATTTCATTCCATTGTAAATGCTGACATTGTGGTGGATTCCTGATCGGAGTCTGTCGCCAACCACATGCCTCAATTGGATCGATCGCCCGAGAATGATGGATAGCAATAGCATGTAGGTGATTCGCATGCATATTTCTCTCTAACAAATATCATAACAAGCTAAATACCACTCTGATATGCTCTCTCTCCACCATCCGCTATGACTGCCTGAGCTCCACATTTCCGGCATCAATCCAGCGTGATGGAATTCTGCCACTCAGTCATTCGGCGCCTCGACCGCTAAACAAATGGAGCAGGCTCGTGCCACCATTACCCATTCGTTTCAGCGCCGGGTAGTGGGTGGTGGGCAGTGGGCAGCGCCGCTCCATTTTGGGGCGCTGCCGGCCGGCCGCACCCGGCGTTCCATTTAGGCTGGCAGCAGCGGGCCAGCCGGTCCCATTCCCATGTGCCTACCGCGCCGGACCGTCGGAGCTCAGTGACAGGTAACGGACGAGACACGCACCGACCGCGGCTCCCACAGTCGTGCGTCCTCCTCTCCCACTCTCTCTTTTCATTCTCCTCTCTCCCCTTCTCCCTCTCTCTCTCTCTCTCTTCCTCTCTCTCGCTCTGCCTCTGCCCTCTCCTTTTTCTTTAATCTTTCTCTTTCGTTGTCTCTTCATGGCTCTCGCTCTCTCTTTCTCATCTTGTTCCTTTAAAACGCCGCTTCTGAAGCCTTTATTTGGAGCAATTAAGTGTTCACGGCGGCTCTTCCTGTCCCCTGCTCTCTGCGTGCCTGTGCTGATCTCTCCTGTCACCCCTGTCGTTCCGCTATCCGCTCCACCGGGCAGCATTGACGGATTTCCTGTCTGCCTACCGACCTGGCTGTGGGCGGCCGGGGGGAGAGCCGGAGGATGGTCTGTTTCTGTAGCTGCTCCAGCGGCGGGGCGGAACGCCGTCTGCTCTGCTAGCACCAGCAGAGAAAACACGCGCGGACCGTGGCAGACGGTCACGACGAGTCGCACGGCACACTGCCTGCCACCGGTGATCGTGACAGGGCGATTCCGGCATCGCGCCAGCACCCGCCCGCGCCAGCACCCGCCCGCGGCAGCACCCACCCGCGCCAGCATCCGCCGCGGCAACATCCATCGCGGCAGTATCCGCTGCGGCATCACACTCGGCGCCAGCACATACCGCGGCAGCACCCATCACGACAGCAGCCATCGCGGCAGCACCCGCCGCGACAGCACCCGCCACACTAGCACCCGCCGCGACACCAGCCATTGCAGCAGCACACACCGCGACGGTAACCATCGCGGCAGCACCCGCTACACTAGCACCCACCGCGCCAGCACCCACCGCGGCAGTATCCGCCGCAGCAACATCCGCCGATGCTGCACCCACCGCGTCAGCACCCGACTCACCAGCACCCACTGAGTCAAAAACCACAGCACAAAGGAGAAGCAAACGTCATGTAGCGGATCACTAGGTTGGAACGCAGGGTCTGTACTTACCCCGTTTACCCTTGGTGTTTTGGTCACGTCAAGTAAGACGATGATGGGATTTATTCAATGCGTGACTTCACCTGTATCGTTATCACTGTCAATACTATTAATTCGATCAGGACCAAGCACCGTTCATTAGAAACCACGCACCCTCCGCCAAGATAAGCAGCCCCAAGTTTCATTCACCCTTCATCGAACCCCTCCCTTACCCGGGCCCCCTCCACCAGTCCAGTGGCGGAGAGGAGCCATAGCCTCTTCTGGGACCGGGCCCTTAACCGGGACCACTCACACTCAGGCGCGACGAGCCGAGCGTGTCAGCACCACGCCCCAGCTGGCCGGAGTGGAGGCTGGCCAGGCGCGGCGGCCTCTCGACCACGCCGCCCCGACTATGTGGGTCACACGCTGGAGGGACCGCACAAGGCCCCGCCGCTCCGCACTCTGAGCCAGCTGCGGCGTGGGCGTGGCGGGGGGGGGGGGGGGGGGCGTGGCGGGGGGCAAGTGCACTCACCGCTGGCCAGTCTCATAAAGCGAAACTGCGACTTTTACCCTTGGTGTTCTGGTCGCGTCATGTACGCGTATGGACCCGATTTTTTTTGTGTTTCACATATTTGTTCTAATCCTCAGCGATACATCATGAACTCGGGCCCCATTGACCTGTTTCTAGCTAAGATGCTTACAAGATGTGATCTAAAAGTTATATAAGTTGTCCTTAGTCTACATCCAAATCACCGTATGTGGTGTATTGACATTGATGGTATCGATAGAATAGTCCAGTGTATAAGGCTTTTGAGTTTCCTCTACAAGCGTCACGCGCGATGTCCGTTCGCCTGCACAAGGCTCACCATGTACAAAGGAAGATATGCTAGACCAAGATGGAACGCTGGATAAGATAGACTCGATTCACTGGAGCGTCATCTCTGATAAATGGTAAGGGCATGATCTTTTTGTTTCGCGGTAGTCCCAAATGACTATTAGGTGTTTGTGAAAGCTGTAATTAAAGCTTGCCTTCCATCAGAGCTTTACGCCTCTGGTCATCGTCGTTGCTTTTTTTTTACCTCTTGCTTTCTTTCAGACCTCATGCCCGAATGAAGCCGTCTGGCTCATAACAGCCGTTAGACCCCGCCGTGCCTAACCAGACTGGACCACACCAGATCGGACCACACTAGAGCCAGACCACATTAGACCGGACCACACCAGAGCCGACCACATCAGACCGGACCATACCGGACCCGTGGTCCACGCCGCAGGAACGACTCGGTGAGTCAACATGTAAGACCGTGGTTGTCATTTAACCGCTGATTATGGTTTCTGCTCGACAAATCCGAGGAATGGCAGTGTTAGATTAACGGAAGTTAGATAAGAAATAACTATTCTGGATCGCGCCAGTCGGTAATCACGTTTCAAATTTTCCCGAAGCGTCGCATCATTCAGCCACGGGAGAGCAGAAGAGCTGGTGTCATCAGGGAATGCCACAGGCAAGCCAGGCGGGATGAACAGTCCTGGACGGCAGACCACGCGTCCCTGAGCAGCCCAGCGGTGCGCATGCGCGAAAGTCGCACCAACGCCGTGCCGAGCGTGA